GCCACGTCCCACATACAGCAACTAGAAGGATGTGCAACTATGACATACAACTATCTACTGGGGCTTGGCGGGGGGGAAGGAGAAGGATTGGCAATAGATGTTAGCTCAGAGCTGGTCTTCCTCAGCAAAAAAAAAAGAGAAAAAAAGAGGAGAATTAGCATGGATGTTAGCTCAGGGCTGATCTTCCTCACAAAAAAAAAGAAAGAAAGAAAATAATTTAAAAAGTTAAATAAAATATTCCCAAAAACTAATTTTTAAAATGCATCACGCTGAGCTGTCAAGAAACTAAGGAATCGGCACACAACAAAAATTACGTAAAACGAAAAGCAGGTGGAAACAACCCAACTGTCCATTAAGAATGAAAGGATAAACAAAATGTGGTTTATAGATACAATGAAATATTATTCAGCCTTATAAAGGAAGAAAGTTCTAATACATACTACAACATGGATGAACTTTGAAGACATTATACTAAGTGAAATAAGCCAGACATAAAAGGGCAAATTCTCTAGGGTTCCACTTACACGAGGTACCTAGAGCAGTCAAAATCACAGAGACCAAAAGTAGAACGGTGGTTGCCAAGGGCTTAAATAGGGGACAATGGGGAGTTATTGTTTAATAGGTACAGAATTTCAGTTTGGGAAGATGAAAAAGTTTTGGAGATGGATGGTGGTGATAGTTATATAACAATGTGAACGTACCTAATGCCACTGAATTTTATACTTAAAGATGGTTTAAATGGTAAATTTTATGTTGTGTATTTTACTATAAGAAATGAGAATTAAATGAAAGCAGATATCCTGCAAAGAAAGAGAATATGATAGCCAGCTTCTGCCCTGTGGCTTATGTAACAGACACTAGCGACCACTGCAATGACCATATGGGGTGTAGGCAACAGAAGATAAAGCCTAGGGCCCACTCTAACTGGAAAGTTTTATATGAAACACCTTTATAAACTTGGGTTACCAATGGGCTGTACTCTCACTGTAGAGATGAACCATAAATAAATCTGCAGCACTGAGAAGGACCACAAAGAAACTGTCCTGTCTTAACCAGTAGAGAAGGAGAAATATCTCTCCTAAGAATCCATAACCAAAAGCTGGCTCTAGTGCAGGTTTGTGACCAAATTCACGTAACCTCAAGTGAAGATCTAGAAGTAGTCCAGTTGGTATTGTCTTCAGGCTACTGCCAGAAGCAACTCCTCATCCCTTCTGGTAGAATAAAAGCTTAACCCAGGCCTCGAATAATTTCCACAGCTAAAGTCCTAAGGAACATTACATTTAAAACAGAAACAAAACAAAAAACACACACCCAGAAATAAGCCACACGAGTGATAACCAGGAAAAACAGACAGCAAAATAAGACCTGGAAAGACCTCAGATATTGGAATTAGAGACAGAATATAAAATGTCTATGATTATTAGATTTTAAGATATAAAAGACAGGCCTGAAAAAATTAGCAAGGAACAAAAAAAGAACCAAGGGCATCTGAAAACAAACAGAACTTTCAGAAATAAAAATTATCATTTAAGTTAAAAAGTCAATGGCCAGGTTAAACGGCAGATTAGATACAGCTAAGAAATAATTAGTGAACAGGAAAAGTGATCCAAAGAAATTCCATAAAATGTGACCAAGAAGTAAAGATATGAAAAAGATGAGAGTTTAAGAGATATAGATGAGGGGCTGACCCCGTGGCATAGTGGTTAAGTGCACGCTCTCCGCTTTGGCAGCCTGGGGTTCACAGGTTCAAATCCCGGGCATGGACCAATGTACTGCTCATCAAACCATGCTGTGGCAGTGTCCCAGATACAAAATAGAGGAACATGGGCACAGACGTTAGCTCAGGGCCAATCTTCCTCAGCAAAAAAAAAAAAAAAAAGAGAGAGAGAGACACAGATGATAGAGTAAGAGGGTCTAACATATCTAATCTTTTAACTGAAGTTCAAGAACTAATTAGACAGGATGGAGAAAGGCTAATGGCTGAGAATTTTTCCACAATCATTAATAGAACAGCAAACCTCAGATCCAGGAAGCTCAACAAATGTCAAATAGGATAAATAGAAATAAAACAACATATTGTAATGAAACTTAAGAACACCAAAAACAAAAAAGATATTAAAAGAGAAGCAGAGAGATTACCTACAAAAGAACAGCAATTAGACTATCAGCTGACTTCTCAACAGCAACAGTAAGATTTAGAAGACCATAGAATAATATTTTCAACGTGCTAAGGAAAAAACAACTGTCAAGAGAATAAGAAGGCAAGCCAGAGACTGGGAGAAAATATTTGCAAAAGACGCATCTGATAAAGGACTATTATCCAAAATACACAAAGAACTCTTAAAACTCAACAATAATAAACAACCCAATTAAAAAATGGGCCAAAGATCTTAACAGATACCTCACCAAAGAAAATACAGATGGCAAATAAGCATATGAAAAGATGTTCAATATCATATGTCATCAGGAAAATGCAAATTAAAACAATGAGATAGGGCCAGCCCCGTGGCTTAGCGGTTAAGTGAGTGCGCTCCACTGCTGGAGACCCGGGTTCGGATCCCGGGCGCGCACCGACGCACCGCTTCTCCGGCCATGCTGAGGCCGCGTCCCACATACAGCAACTAGAAGGATGTGCAGCTATGACATACAACTATCTACTGGGGCTTTGGGGGGAAAAATAAATAAATAAATAAAATCTTTAAAACAATGAGATAGCACTACGACAATGGCCAAAATCCAGAACAATGACAACACCAAACGCTGGTGAGGAAGTGGTGCCAACAGGAACTCTCATTCATTGCTCATGGGAACACAAAATGGTGCTATTTTGGAAAACAGTTTGGTGGTTCGTTATGAAATGAAACATACTCTTAGTATACAGTCTAGCAATCTCACCTCTCGGTATTTACCCAAAGGAGTTGAAAATTTATGTCCACATAAAAACTTGCACACTGATGTTTATAGCAGCTTTATTCATAACTGCCAAGACTTGAAAGCAACCAAGATGTCCTTCAGCGGGTGAATGGATAAACTGTGGTACATTCAGACAACGAAATATTATTCAACACCAAAAAGATATGATCCATTCCCCAAACCAGAAGAAAAGATAATTATGTGACACAATAAAGGTGTTAGCTAAGACTACTATGGCAATCCATTGCAAGTAAATTATCAAATCAATATGTTATATACCTTAAACAATACTGAATGTCAAATATAACTCAATAAAAAAAAAAAGAAACAAACTATCAAGACATGGAAAGACATGGAGGAATCTTAAATGCATATTACTATAAGTGAAAGAACCCAATCTGAAAAGGTTAAATACTATGTGATTCCAACTATATGACATCCTGGAAAAGATAAAACTATCGAGACAGTAAAGGGATCAATGGTTGCCAGAGGTTGGAAAGCAGGGGGAAGGGATGAATAGGCAGAGAACAGAATATTTTAAGGGCAGTGAAAATACTCTGTATGATACCATAATGATAGATACATGTTGTTATACATTTGTCCAAACCCACAGAACATACAACACCAAAAGTGAACCATAATGTAAACTATGGACTTTGGGTGATTATGATATGTCAATGTAAGTTCATCAATTTTAACAAATGTACTACTCTAGTAGGGGATGTTGATCATCGGGGAGGCTATGCATGTGTAGGGGCAGGGGGTATATGGGAAATCTCTGTATCTTCCTCTCAATTTTGCTGTGAACCTAACACTGCTCTAAAAAAAAATCTTAAAGATATTAACTGTCAATGCAGAAGTCTATAACTAATGAAACTCTTTCAACAATGGAAAGCAAAACAAAGCTATTTTCAGACAAAAACAGAGACATTAACACAGACAGACCCTCACTAAAGGAAATTCTAAAGGATGTACTTTAGGAAGAAGAAAAATGATCCCAGATGAAAGGTCTGACATAAAAGGAAACAAAGATGAGCAAAGATATTGATAAATATGTGGAAAACCTGAACACTGCCAGTGTAAAACGAGAATCCTACTTAATTTGTGTGGTTAGAAATAAACAAGATAGAACTAAAATACTGGATAACAATGACGTAAGTTGGGAGGAATGATCAGAGTTTAAGAATTCTATGATTCTTATATAATTAAGAAGGAGGGTGTAGTGTGTTTAATGGTGGCTCCCCAAAAAAACATACGTCCACATTCTAATCCTAGGAACCTGTGTATAGCATTTTATGTGGCAAAAGATGTGATTAAGTTAAGGATCTTGAGAGGAGGCACTTATCCTGGATAATCGGGTGGGCCCTAAATGCAATCAAAGGTATCCTTTAGAAGGAGAGAAAGAGGGAGGACACAGACACACCCCGAGGAGAAGACACAGAAGAGGAGGGGACAATGTGATCAGGGAGGCAGAGATTGGAATAATACAGTCACAAGCCAAGGAACATCTGGAGCCACCAGAAGCTGGGAGAGGCACAGAAAAGTTTCTCCTCTAGAGTCTTCAGAGGGAGCACAACCCTCTGACACCTTGATTTTGGACTTCTGGCCTCCAGAACTGTGAGAGATTAAATTTCTGTTGTCTTAAGCCAACAAATTTGTAGTAATTTTATACAGTAATCATGGGAAACTAATACAGAAGGTAAAGATATTACTTTAGGCCAAATTAAAATATATGTGCTAACGAAGAGCTCAATTCTCCTTAAGTGGATTTATAAATTTAACATGAACCCAGTAAAAATACCAACTTTTTTTTTTATAGGAAAAGGTGATTTTAAGGTTCATACAGAAAAATAAACAAGAATAGCAATAAGGGGAGACTTAGGCAACCACATTACAAAAACATACCAAAATGCCTCATTAATTAAAAGCAAAGTGTGTTGCCGTATGTATTGACAGACCAACCACTGGAATCTAATATATTTTAAGTCCACAAATGGGTACTAATGCATAACATACTTAGGTTGTGATAGAGGTGGCATCTCTAATCATGGGAAAAAGATTTGAGATGGCATTTGAGATTTAAATGACATGGTGACAAAGTTGAATCTGTCCCTCTAAGCATAGATCAGGATAAATTCCAAATGGATCAGAGATTTAAATGTAATATAAAATGAAACTATAGAAGTAATAGAATAAAAGACAGTACATTTTTTTTTTTTTTGTGAGGAAGATCAGTCCTGAGCTAACATCCATGCCAACCCTCCTCTTTTTGCTGAGGAAGACCAGCCCTGAACTAACATCTATTGCTAATCCTCCTCCTTTTTTCCCCCAAAGCCCCAGTAGATAGTCGTATGTCATAGTTGCACATCCTTCTAGTTGCTGTATGTGGGACGTGGCCTCAGCATGGCCCGACAAGTGGTGTGTCGGTGCGCACCTGGGATCCGAACCTGGGCCGCCAGCAGTGGAGCGCGTGCACTCAACCACCAAGCCACGGAGCCGGCCTGATAGTACATTTCTTTTATAACTTCTGAGTGGGAAAGTCTATTACATGATGTCTAGAAACTATAAAAAAGAAAAGATCGTTAGAGTGACTACACAAAAATCTACAAATCCTGCATGGCAACACAAACAAATAAGCACACAAGTGTGTGCGCACACACACACACACACATACTCCTATATGCAAAGCAAGAAAACAAATGATAAACTGGGTTAGAAGTCATAAATATTGTGTTAAAATTTGCAATTGCTATTACAAAAGGCTAATCTCTTAAATAAAGAGCTCCTACAAATCAACTCCTACAAGACCAACAACCCTGTAGAAAATGAGCAAAGCATATGAACAGACTGTTCACAGATAAAGAAATAAAATTTATTTTTAAACATGTGAAAAGATGATCAATGCTTTCCTTTACAAAAGGAAAGCAAATTGAAACTACACCTAAATACTATTTTCCATCCATTAGATTGGCAAAAATCCAGAAATTTGATAACTATGTTGGCAAGACTGTGGGAAAATAGGCACACTCATACATCGCTGGTGGGAGTGTAGATAGTTACAAACCCCCTGGAGGGCAATGTGGCAAAATGACATATAATATATCAAAATCATAATAGTATATATCCTTTAACTAAGCAATTCCTATCTAGAAATTTATCCTAGAGACAAACTAATACACATGCACAATGACATATGTACATTTTGCAGACCTATTTAAAAGAGTAAGATTGAAAACAATGTAAATTGGCCATCAATAAAGACATTTAGTTATGGTTTCATCAATTAATAGAATACCACATGGCTGCTAAAAAAAAAAGGAGTGGGGAAGGAAATTCTTCATATATCAATATGGAAAGAGTATCAAGATATATTATCAAGTGAAAAAAGCTAAGTATAGAGAAAGCTGTGCTTTATGCTACCATTTGTAAGAAATGAACATTTAAAGATTTTATTTATTCATTTTTTTCCCCCCAAAGCCCCAGCAGATAGTTGTATGTCATAGGTTCACATCCTTCTAGTTGCTGTACGTGGGACTCGGCCTCGCGCTGGACGGAGAAGTGGTGCCTTGGGGCGCGCCCGGGATCTGAACCCGGGCCGCCAGCATCAGAGCGCGCGCACTTAACCGCTAAGCCACGGAGCCGGCCCGAAATGAACATTTAGAATATCTATATATTTGTATCTATATTTATAATCTGTATTGGAATATATATTATAGACACAGATATACTAGAGGATTGGAATTGAGCAGATGGGGGTAGAAGGCTAGAGGGAGACTCTTCACAGTATACTTTTCAAATATTTGATATTGAAACCATGTAAATGTATTGTCTATTACATTTAAAAATTTTAATAAGTATGCATAATAGAATATCTAGGATAACTTCTAACAAAGTAAACAGAGTATAACTTTCAAATTAGTAGAGGAGTAAAAACAAAATAAGAAAAAGGAAAACAAAATAATCCAAAGATAAGAACACATAGAAGGCATAACACTAGATGGTTGAAATAAATCTAAATATTTCCATAATCACAATAAATTTAAATCAATTAAACTCACCAGTTAAAAGACAAAGATTGTCTCATTGTATTAACCATAATAAACGTGAATTAACTAGACATCTCAGTTAAAAGACAAACACTGTCAGACTAAATAAAAACACAATCCAGTTACATACTGTCTTAAAAGAGACATCTAAAATATAAGAGCACAGGTAGGTTGAAAGTCAAAGGATGGAAAAAATTACACAAGGCATATATGCTACTCAAAAGAATGCTGCTGTAGCTATATGACTATCAAGCAGCAAGATATTAAGGCAAAAAGGGTCACTTCACAAAGACAGGAGGTTTAAAGGTCCAGGAACATATATAATTCTAAAATATGGCCTCGAAATATATAAAGCAAGAATTGCTATCACTGCAAGTAGAAACTGACAAGTCCATTATCATAATGGGAGATTTTAAACAACCTCTCAGGAACTGACACAAAAAGGGTGAGGCTCCTTTCGCCTCCTCAAATTAACCTGCTTTGGAACTGCTACGTCACCCTATCAGGAACAAGGTTTCTCAATTAATTTCTGAGGAAATAAATCGAGATGGAGAGACATGCTTCCTGTCCGGTTTTGGTGACCAACATTCAAACACAGAAATGGGAAGTTACACATTATCCGCAGAGCAACCATATAGCTAGACACTAACACTAATGGCTTTGTCAGCAATTCTATGTGCTTATGTTTCAATTTCTTAATCTTTAAACTCCTCAAGGGAAAATACTGCTCTTTTACACAAATTTTATCTATCCCAGCACCTGCCACATGCCTGGTATATAATAAGTGCTCAGTAAGTGTTTTTATGGAATCATCTATTACACATCCCTTTTAAAAATAACTTATTCGTTCCAATACTTATGAAGCACCTATTACATACCAGGCACTATGTTAAGTACTAGGAATACACAGATGAATGAAACGGTGTCTGTTCTCTAGTAGAAGAAAAACAGAAATATATATTTTTAAAAAGCTATAAACAGAAGTTTGAGTGGAGAGGTGGGTATAAGAGCCCAGAGAAAGTACCTGGAGAGCTAAGGGAAAGTTCTCAACCATTTACCATGTATTTATAAGTACCCACTGTATTCCAGAATCAGGTAGGTGTCAGAGAAGGGAGATTTGAGTTAAGTCTTACCAAGCAGATATGGGGGTGATCCCCTCCTCTGGCCATGCTGAGGAGGAGGATGTGCAGCTATGACAGACAACTATCTACTGGGGCTTTGGGGGAAAAATAAATAAATAAAATCTTTAAAAAAAAAAAAAAGATATGGGGGTGAGGGCAGGCAGAGAATATTCAGGGCCATGAGAAAGAAGAAGAATATGAAGTTCAGGAGAAAATATGATTTACTCTAAGTCAAACAGCTTGGGTAAAGAATAGAACCTACATTCCTAGTGTATTTTCCACATTGCTTCTTGTCTTGACACTCCTTCCCCCTAGGACCCTATTTAGTCCAATACAGACCCCTGTCTAGATTGATGGCTTTTGACCACAATCCAACAAGAAATTCTTTTAAAATTGCACCAAGATACCCATAAATTTAACTTAAAAGTTTCATGAGATACCCTTACTGGATACAATGCATGCTACTCTCTATTTCATTTTTAAAAATGCTTCTCACAACTCACTACCATTGACTTCACCACTCACTAGTAGCTCTCAACCCCATTTTTTAGAATGCTTACTGCTTGTGATGTTTTATAATGCGCTTCTCTCAACTGGAATTCTGCTTCTAGCTCCTCACTTGACAGCCCAGTAAAAGCCCCCTCCAAACATATTCCTGAGCAACTACTGTGTGTAGAGGAAACGCTGTGCCAGCCTCAAGTTTGCTGTATGTGGCTAAGTTCTCCGAAAAGCATAAATCAAGGATATTATCAAATTTTCCCGGGAAACTTTTCCCAATCTATACATATTTACTACATATCTACTGAATCTACTGAGATAGATACAGAGTGAGATTTGGATATGTGAATGCTGGGAAAACTTCCCAGGCGATAGTGACTTGATGATCTGAGGTCCCTTCCACTCTTACAAAACAAATATTTGTTTAGGAAAGGGGGTTTAGCAAAGGAGTAGACACAAACAAGAAAATTAAACCTCAGATAAGTAGAGGGACTTGCTAGTGGCCAAAAAGCCACTGGTAGGACAAGGATTAGAATCCAGCTTATTTCATTCCCACGCCATTTCAGAAAGTTCCCACTAGGAAAATGAAGTCTATCAATTTTCCTTCTCTTTTGCATTGACCTTTTCTTTATCAGAAATTCCCCAAGGGGCTTTGGCTTACTAAGCGCTAATTAGATTTCCTCCACCTGCTCTGGGATTTAGAGGGCAGTGCTAATGCAGTGCCCTCCTCAGCTAACAAAGCCACTGGCATTCCCGGTATGCAGGGGCTGGCCTCCAGTTCTTTAGTCAACAGCAATTAAAGGGCTCCTATCCAAAGCCCTAAGGAGGAAGATGGAGAAGGGAGGGAGGTGTATTCCTTGATCCAAAAAGTGAAGTACAGCCACTGATTGGGATTGATTGTGACTGAAGAGCTGGGTGGAAACGGGGAAAATTCTGGAAGGTAAGATTGGAATCTGGGTGAGGCAAGTAAACTAACGACTACTCATCATCCTTCTCACTCCCCTAAGGAATGCTATTGTCGTCCAGATTGAGGGGATAAAGCCTTGGATGGCAAAGAGCCCTCATCCAAAAATAAATTATCAAGAAACATTTCCCTTTCTCTTGTTTCAAGACACAGGTCCAAATTTCTCAGCCAAGAATGACAAGTCCTCCACAATTCTATCCCTCCCTATCTACGCATCATAATTTAGTGAATGTTCAGCCACTAAGTGGCAAAGTGCAGGCAGGATGTTCAGTCATTAACTGCCGTGTGACTCTACACCAGTCACAGCTTCTCTGGCTTTGATTTTCTCATTTGCAGCTCTCAGAGATGATTTCAAGATCAAATGAGACAATGAATACACCAATGTTTTATAAACTATAAAGTGATGTAAAAGCTTTAATACAATTCCTAACACAAACTCAATTAAATTCAAATATTTACTGAGTTCCTAGAACAGTGCTTATACAGAGTTGGTGCACAAATGTTATAACATAAATATTAGCTGTTAGATACACACACACAAAACCAACAGAATTCTTACCTATGTGGAAATCACAGACTAGTGTAGGAGATAAGGTCTCTAATAGAATATGAGTACTAAAATAGAGTATGTACAAAATGAGGAATGGGGAATAATTTATTTTGCTACTAAAGAATAGGGGTGAAGATTGTCAAAAACCTTCTATGGTCTTGGTGAACAGAATACAATTGGGGGTGAGGGTATGGAGAAAATATAGCTGTAGAAGAAACTCAAATGGGCCATGTCATGATGCTCTATCACAACATACTCGTTAACATCTCCCTGCCTTTATTCACAAAGTTCTTTCTCATGAGAAATTTAAAAATTCTACCAATCCTCCAAGGAATATTTAAGCATACGCTATTAAGTATTATTATTATTAAGGTATTATTAAGGATACAAAACATTACAAGGCAGGTCTCTGACTCCAATAAGTTTACCATCCAACAAGGAAGATAAGTCATAAATGAAAAATATAATGCTAACCATACACAATGCCTCAAGGGTAAAGAGGTACATTATCCCATTTCTGGAAAAGTTCCAAGTCGAAAAATTCGGTCTTATTTCCCCCATAAAGTTAGACCAAGAGTCACAAATTCATTTGTCCCATCAAACAATATTATTTAACCTACTATGTGCCAAACAACATTCTGGTCATTAGGAAAAAGCAATGAACAAAAAAGACAGAAATCCTGCTTTTAAAGGGCATATATTCTAGAGGTGTAAAGGGTCAAGCAGGTACATATATGTGTGATCCAATGGGTGGAGAGGGGCGAGAATACAGAGACTTGGAAAGCATATGACTTGGCTAAAGTGGGCAGATGCCACCCAGTTCCAGCTAATTGCTGCTAAGCAGAAATTTGGGCCCAGTGCTCCCAGACCTGGAAGCTGGAAATTTTATGTAAAAATCTCTCAGCTTTTAATAATCTACAACTAATTAAAACTGTTTAAAACTCTGCAGGCAAAGCAAACATTGTGGATGGAATTCAGACCGAAGAGGCCAGTTGATGACCTCTGTCTTAGAACATGTATCATGATTTTTGGTTTAGAGATACAGTCACGACATATAAGTGTTATAAACTACTGGGCTTGAGGAGGAAGAACCAGTTCTAGCTAGGTAAGTCTGCACAAGCATCAAGGAGGTGAAGGCATTTAGCCTGAACCTTTAGGTTTTGCCTCTTTCAGAAAATAGCCCATTATATTTTAGTTCTTACTTCTCTCATTATTTTTTCATTTCTCACAGCACTTACTAGCTACATTGATGTGTTGACTCCTGCTTAGGTACTTCCTTGCTAAGAATGGCAAGACCTCTTTCTTCAATCAGAAAGTCCATCAAGAGCAACACTATCACAGCAGCTGCCTTGCTGGTTTTTCTGGTCAATCAACAGATTAACACTGCTCGTTAATATGATTAATTCCCATCTGCCCTATAATAGGCTTACCATCTGGCAAGATATTCAGAAAAGTTCTGTCACCTCAAATGCTCAAAGCAGGGACTTTATGCATATTATTCTAGGCAAAAAAATTACCTTAAAAATATATGGGGAAAAAAAATAAACCCAGTCAGTCCTCCTTTAGTTCTCATTACTTCTTTCAAAGGCACTCTGACAATGTCTATCAAAATTTAAAGGCACATACTCTTTGACCCAGAAATTCTACTAGAAATTGATCCTATAGCTAAATCACATTTGCTCAGAAGTCACTGAAATACGGTACTGGGTGATTAAAAAGCAGCCAGCCCTGGTAGTCTAGTGGTTAAGATTCGGCGCTCTCACTGCCGTGGCCCAGGTTCATTTCCCGGTCAGGGAACCACACTACCCATCTGTCAGTTGTCATACTGTGGTGGCTGCATGTTGCTGTGATGCTGTAAGCTATGACAGTTTACCAACGGTATTTTAAATACCAGTGAGTTTCAGCAGAGCTTTCAGAGTATGACCGAGTAGGAAGAAGGATCGGGCCACCCACTTCCAAAAAAATTGGCTATGCAAACCATATGCATAGCAGCAGAGCATTGTTTGATCTAGCACTGGAAGGTGAGAGGATGGTGCAAAAAGATTGGGCGTGGTTCAGCTCTGTTGTACACAGGGTCACTAGGAGCTGGAATTGACTCGTGGCACTAACAAGATTAAAAAGCACACTACAATCTAAAATGTACACAAATTGCTACAGAGGTAGTCATGGTACAGCAAATACTTTAATAAAAACTGTAACAAAGCATACTAAGCAAGAATTTCACTAATTATTTGTACAAAGTAAGTAAGAGAAGAAAAGAAGAAAAAAAGTATAAGTTTTAATCTTCAACCTCAGACTCTGGAAAATCATCTTCAAAGTCAGGTAAATCATCCCTAGTGCCAGGAAAATTCATCATCTCTGCTGGTCTCCAGTTGACTGTCTTAATCACTAGCACTTGCTGCATTAGAAACTTAGTTATCCTGCCTTCAAAATAGGGTTCGGCTGCCCTTTAACTAGGTTGGTTTGCAATGTATATGAACTTAAAGATAAATCAGTGCCTCCACTACTTTTGAGCCATGACTTAGTGTGGCAAAATTTAAATCTAAAACGTAATGTAATAACCCAAAATGTACCTCTGATCAGCTGTGTAGCCGATGGCTTCTTTTGGTTACTAAAGCTCTGGGATGTGAAACTTGTATCTCTGCCATATTTTGTGTTTCCATTCTCCTCAGTTAGAGGAATCACATCAGGGCAGATCATCTTGCTGTTAAATACCTTTTGCTTTGGCCCAAAAACTTTCATCTGCAAAACAAGTGCATTCGACACAAGGTAACATCGGGGTAATATTTGGGAAAGGGGGGAACACGTCTTATATACCAGCAAATTCTGGAAATAACAAAACTATACTTATGCAATACTATACAGTTGTGAAAATCTGAGGTTTGTGAGAACTGTATGGAACATTATTTGCCTAATGGTTATTCTCAGAGGATGCAATTTGGGGTGAATTTTTGCTTCTTTGAATATTTCAGCATTTTTTGATTTATAATGAACACGTACTATTTTAACAAAAGTGATAATCATTCCTTTAAAAAAATAAAACAAATGCAGTTGATCTGTATGTGCTAATATGAAATTATCTCCATGGTTTATTTTATCTCATAGAGTTGTAGTGCATATTAATCATAAGGACTTAGAACAGTATCTGACACATAAGCATTCAAATATTACCTATTATTATACTATAAAGTGAAATATAACAAGATGCCAGACAGGGTAAACTGGGCAAGGGTATGGGGTGGGAATGACACTTACTTTTCATTGAATACTACCCTGTCCAGGTTCCCTAGAAAGCAAAGCCGAGTTCCGGGCAAAACTTACCTGCTTTTTATTAGGTGTTGAAATCTCAGGACAGAGAGAGGGGAAAAAGATTAGTGAGGCAGGCTAGGAAGGAAAGAAAGCAAATACAAGGCTGTGCATTAACAAACTTTACATGAAAACACAGCCAATGGCAAGATCATTCAGGATAGATTGTATAGAACTACTGTAGCTAAGAATAGTATATGTGAGGAATGGAGGAGAGGGGGAGGAGAAAGGCAGACAGCAAGCATTTTATCTGCTGGTTCCTTCCCTTCCCCAGCTTACAACTGCATTGGTCATAGGTGTTAACTGCTCCCACCTCCCCACATCCAGGCTGTGTTACCCAGCCCCCTGGATAGTCACTGGGAAAGAACAGACCCTACATTTGAGTCTGAAGTGGTAGGAGGAGTCAGAGCCTTCTTGGGACTGGTCAGACGGAGCTTAAGCCTCTGAGCTGCTGTGGCTCTCTGCACAGTGGGCACAACAGAGACTATACCAGAGCCCAGCCTTCACCCAGAGGGAGGCTGAGACAGCCAGCAGTTTTAGGAAATAAGGCAAAAGCAGCAGCAGCTGAGACTTGCCATTAAGCAAGCCAACTAGGGCCTGGGGGGCAGGTAGAACCAAGGGAATCTGGGTAGATTCCCAGACACATAAGCTTGTGTACAGAATGAATCTTTCACCATCATGTGTGTCTTATTTTTGAAAACATTAGAAAAACCTGTACTTAGTCTATACCCAGTGGCCTAAAGGAAAGGACAGGGACTTGGAGCCACACAGTTCGGAGTTTGAGAATCCCATGCGCCTAGTATGTGCTGGGAAACTACGGGTGGGTTGCTCATGCATATAATCAGGATATTACATGGTTATTGTGAAGATTAAATGAGCTCAGGTGGCTAAAAGATGTTAGGCTCTGACAGACATGGTTCTGCCTCTTACATAAAACAGGCTGATTCTTTTCCTTCCTTCATTCGATCCCTCCCTCCTCGCTGCTCCTCCAGGAGACCTGAGATCACACTAGAATTTCATTCTGCCCAGCATTATTTATGTTTATGCTCACTCGCTACACTGGGAGCTCCTTGAAGAGAGAGTTATTATTTGATTCTTTCATGTCCCCCTTTGGTGCCTAGCACAGCTATGCTCATATCTGGGGCCAAGCACATGTTTGCTGAACCAACCAGAACTCCAAACACCAGTTCCTAGGGGAGATAACTTTTCATAAGACTATTAGTAAAGTTACTTGAAGGACCCATCAGACTTCCTAAACAGTCTGACAGCTGTTCTGGCTAGAAAGATAGGAAAAAAAAATCAAAGGCTTTGAAGCTAGACAGATCTGCATTCCCACCCCAGTTCCATCCCTTGCTACAAGGGTGACATTTGGGCAAGTGACACAAACTCTAAAACTTTAGTTGCCTTGAACATAAAATGGGGATCCTACTATATTTTTTAGGGCTATTGTAAGGACTGAAGTTAAATAATATAAACTATGACTGGCATGGTGTTAATCTTTGCTTCAGAGCACTCTTATCCCCCTACACTCTTACCCTGACCAAGGCTGCTCAGTCCCACAGCTCCTGTGATTTGAAAGGTCTCATTCTTTTCCTAATTCCTAAGGGTACTTTTCTGCAGGAGGGAGACCCTGTGAACCTATGTGAGGGAGTGGTTTATGCAGCCATATTAATGACACAGTTTCTTTCTACCAGCATAGAAGATTCTCTGACTCATTTGACTCGTTGTTTCCTTCTTTTCTGATAACTTACAACCAGAAAAAATAAATAGCCTATTTTAATTTCCAGAAAAAAGAAACTACTTTGAAACACTACTGGGATCTTCCAGAATACTGATTTCCTTCATGGTTAGTGTTGTTGTTAAAGACTATAAAGAGAGTAGAAATAGAGCAGATTCAGCAACAGTTCACTCTGTGTTTTGGAACTTTCGGTACTAGTTGATTTTTGGAGCACCCCTGTTATGTCTACATTCCAGGTAGCAGCAGAAAGGGAAAAAGGCATTCCCAGCTGATTAAAGATGAAAGTCACCAGCAGCAAAGATAGAAGGAGGCTAGATCCCTGACGACTCCATGGATCCATTATACCAATCCCAGATTCCAATCTCTGAACTTCCTTTATGTTAGAGAATAACCCTTGTATATTTAAGCCACTATAGCTAGGTTTCTGTTACTAGCAACCAAACACAACTCCTAACTTACTGAATGATAGTTCACAACTTGGCCAACATATACACAGGAAAATCACCAGTTATGGGTAATTTGGGTAACTCTTTGGCAAATGTCCTGAGTTGTACCAGAATGGTTTTTTTTTTTTTTTTTGCTGGTGGTAGGAGGATCAGAAAAGAAGAGATTTCTGGCATGAGAGAAATCTCATGGCTTTTTTTTCCTGTTCTTTTCATTTAACACACTTTAACTGAATGTCAGCTCTGTGCTAGGCTTTGTACAAAATACTTTCCTTTGTAGGTTTACCAAGTGCTTCACATTAGCCTCCCTCTTTCAGCTCTTACCCTGCTGCCTTTGCTGTAGACCTGCCAGGGAGACCCACCAGAGTTGCCGACAGACTAAGAGCTTCCAAGACCCCTGGAACAGATGTGGATTGTAGCTGCAACCAAAAAAGCAATAAATAAGAGAGATATCCAAATCTTAGCTGATGACATGGTAAAAAATAACAGTGTTTCAAATAAATTTGACCAGCCCTTAAGGTTCAACAGTGGATGCTTAAGGCTGTGTTATTCCCTAGACCCACTCTGCCTCTTGAAAACTTTTCTTTCAGGAAAAATCCTTAAAAAGAATATAAGAATTCCTCATTTATCAGTTACTTGCCTAAAGAGAAAAACTATTAGGGAAGGAAAGGGACAAAAAGCCAGCTAAAGTGGAGGGACATGATATGTGTAACCTGAATAAACCCCAGCAATCTAAGCGGGCAGAATGACATTTAACGACATCCCAGCAATCAAAGGTAAAAAAAAGAAAGAAAAAAAAAAACTAATTCCAATCTTTACATGCATTTCTCATTGCGAGAATTAAAGAGGAATCAAAATTATAACCCAGACATTTTATCTTCTCCTGACCAGTTCTCTCACACACTACAGTTTTTCAAGGGTCTCTCACTTGCCAATCTGCCCCAAGCCCAACCTTCACAAACTAGTTTTAAATTTGCACTCTCCTCTTTCCTCTTTATCTTTCAATTCTTCATTATGGAGAGTCAGTGTGTCTTCCTGATTTTTATATTTTCACTCCATTCTCCGCCCGTTAGAACAAAGTCGAGTCCTGGGAGAAGACCCAGAAGGCAAGACTCCGTCCACCTTAGAAGCCAGGGAGAAAGGAGCGGGAACAGTGAATAGTGATGTGAATAATTTCTCTCTGTAACATACACTATAAAAAGAGCTAGATCTAAGGCTCCCAGCTAGTTGTAATGACTCTCTCTAATCAAATAAGGGAGCCCAAGTCATAAAACAAAAAAGGTCAAAGGTTTTAAATATAGAGATAAAAATCCTTTAATATATTGAAGGGGTCCAAGACAAAGGAAACTTCCAAAAACATAAAAAAATATGTAAATAATACATGTAAATTGCTTTGAATAGTTCCTGGCATGGAACTCAATTAATGTAGCTATTATTATTATTATTATTATTGACCAGATCCTCTCCATCCCCAGCTCCTTTACTGTTATCTATACATACCTCTATAACAGAATTTACAACATCATGCAGTAGTTAATTTAGGGAGAGAAGCCGACTTAATAGGTCCCTGGAAGCAAGGTTATTTTAATGCTTCTTTGCTGCTCCACCTAACACAGTACCTGACACAGAGCTGGTGTCAACACATGCTTGTAGAAGGACTTGCTTCTGTTAAGTGAAGTATTCCAGTCCAGTTTACCTTCCATGAGACCCATTTTTGGCAAAGATTTGATAAATCAGAAGGTTTCACTGAACCAATATTGTATTATAACACACGATAAACAGAGCAACTTTAGTCACACATTCCAACAAGTGACTTAAAAAGTCAAGTTGATGCCAATTTAGTTTTGTAATCCAAAAATATCACTTCCTCAATAAAGATTTTCCATGCACTTGACTACCGTATCTCTCTAATCTCGTGACCTC